GACGGAGAGGCCAGCATTTCCTCTAGCAGCTAATCAGATTTGGGTGGTTTAGAAGTTGGAGAGTGACAGTCTTCATCCTTACTGAGTATTCCGTTTCCCCAGACTTAACACTGTCTCTCTCCTTCGTGCATGACTGTCAGACGTCTGACTTCTGACAGGTGTAGCAGGATCCCAGTCTGCGATGACTCTCTTCCTGTCCTTGACCGCTACTGTTGTTGAGACTCTTCACTTTGCCAGTGTGGCTGTGTCTTCCAGGGCCGTCATTCGGTTCTGGGTCGTCTAGTGGCTGCTGCGACTCCTCCTGTTCCGTCTGTAGCTGGTCTCCTGCTTGCTCTCTCGCGGCTGGGTCCGCAGGCTTTGCCGCTCCAGAAGGATGAGCTGCTGGGCTGGGCTGGGAGGCGTTAGGAGCGCTCTGAGGCTTCAGTTTCAGCTGGGTCCCTGGGAGGGTCCTCTGTCCACACCTGTGATCATCCCGAGAGGAATTGACTTTGGAACTCCAAAATCAGCCGTCCCGTCCGTCTGTCTTCAGAGTGGTCCGGCTTCCTCTGTAGTCCTCGTGCCTTCAGTACCCACTGCTGCGTGCGTTTCTGCCACTGTGTATCCTGACGTCACATCCTCTGTCGTTGTCTCTGCTGCCGTAGTCATCGCAGCGATCCTGGCCTCCACAGTAGTCGTGATGTTTGCCCTCAGAGCTCTCCTCACCCTTGCAGGTGGGCGGTCATCACAGCTGTCTCTGGCAGGGCAGTTCCTCCAGTCTGCGTCTGTTCTGTGAGAAGCCTGATTTCTCTCTCAGCCAAGAGCACAGCCATGCTTGTCTTTATCCTGAGCAGTGTCCCCCAGAATTCTGTTACCGAGAGATGCTTTATTGAGGCTCAGGGCACTGAGCGGGGACTCCGGGTTCTCAAACTCAGCGTAATTGAAGCATTTTAACCTCTCTGGATTGCTGGTTCACATGCTAAATGCACCGCACTGATATTTAATCCTCTAAAGAATTCCTCAGTAATGCCTTCTGTCACCACAATTTTGATTCCCCAAAAAGCGGTGTCAGGTGGCATTTGGGGAGATGGCTCTGGTTGCCATTGGGTTCTCAGGCAGACTGTGGGCAGGATGCAGTGGTCAGTTGCAGGAGCCATATGCCTGTTACCATCATAACTGTGCCGAGTGGTTGACACATCTTCCAGATCACCTGTGTTATCAGTGCAGCTGACTGGTTTGGGAACATGGGTGCTTCCTCCACCAGTGTTAGCATCCTCAGCCTGGAAGTCTGTTAGGGAGACAGTCTTCCCTTTCTTCTTGGCTGAGGTCACTGTGCTGGATTAGGGGAAGGAACCAAAGTTAGACTGTTTCCTTAAAGCACGCAAATTTGGAGTTTTATGTCCACTTACTGGATTGGATCTTGTCTCATTTTCTTTATTCTCCTTAATAAAGCTCTTTCTCTGCTATTTAACTAATCCCAGCTTTCTTTTTGTTTATATTTGTCTAGTATGTCCTTTTCCTTACTTGATAGCAGGCCCAGTTCTTTATTACTTAATCCCAGGGCTGCTATCAGCATGCATGTCCAGAAAAAAAAATTAAAATAAAAAACCTTTTTTGCTTACTAGTCATTATTTCTTTTTGTTATTTCAACTAAAAAAAAGTCTTTTTTAGGCTACTGCTGCGTGTGGTGGGAACAGGCTTGATAATTTCTTGTAATTCTTGAGAACACAGCCGTGTTTGAGAAGTGCGTCGGTTCTGATTATTCTAGGACCTGTTCGCGTTGAAGCAGAAAGGCCTTTCTGGTATACCAGGTTGCTAGAAACTGAAAGCCTTCCGTTTCCATTGAGTTTCTTCAGTGTGTGTTGATCCTCTGTGGCTTCCATTGGTTTTCCCGTATGAACATGATGGCCGATGTACATGCAGGTGGAAGTCATCCTTGAGCCTGTTTTCTCATCTGCAGAATGGGGTTTCAGAACCTGTGAATATGTTAACTAGAATCACTTAAATAGTAAACAACTGTTTATCTTTTCACACACACACACACACACACGCACACACATACAGACACATACTATATGCAACTACAAATAAGTGAAGAGAGTATAATGATGTTTAGATGGTTAGGTCTGTGGATTTGGTAGAAGGATCTAAACAGAACATAGAAAAGACTACAAAGAAGGGAAAATAGGATAAACATGAATGTTTATTAATATTTGTCAATCTTGCCCAGAATGTTCTACTTTATCTTAGTAGGCTAAGAATGGGTAGAAGTTTAGCCTTAAGATATCTGCCATGCAGAAGAAAGCTGAAGTAGGTCTGCTTTGTATTGTATTTAAAAAGTAAAAATTGGGTAGAGGAGTGAAGCAGAACTTGAGGGTAAAGAAAGGTCTAAAAAGAAGCATGCAGGTTTTACTGGAGACGTGACAACTAATGTGTTTTATAAACCTGCGCGAGGTAGTATGTTTTAAAATTATGGTGAAGGGCATTGTTGGGACAGTTGATGAAATTATAGACTATGAATTGTATATTAGATACTAGTAATGCACTAGTTAATTCCCAGAATTCTGTCTTCATATTGTTATTATTTAAGAAAATATTTTTATTCTTAAGAAATGCATATTAAAGTATTGCAGAGTAAATAGGCAGCTTACTTAGGTGGTTCAGATAATAAATAAATTATGTGTAACATATATAATATTTAATAACAAAAATATATAAACCTGTGTATTTATTTTACTTAGAAATCAACAAATGACCCTGGATTTTTACTATCATCATTTATTTTGTTGCTCAAGTTGACCCAGATATGGTTAATTGCCCATATTCTCCTGTAAATCTTATAGTAGTACTAAATCTTTATTTTAAATGGGGGATATTGTGACCATATCAACATGTGATGGGTTGAAAATATTTATTAATTAGGTCTGATTTCTTAGTTAATTCAAGCAAATAGTGTTAATCATATTGAAAATTGTAATCTCTAATTTAACATATGAATAAATCAACTTTTTTTAGGTTTAAGCTGAATTTTGGGACATGGCCACTGCTTCACCAAGGTCTGATACTAGTAATGGTAACCACAGTGGAAGGTTACAGTTACAGGTAACTGGTAAGTAAACTGGTAAGTTATTTTCATAATAATTTAAAATGGTGGTTCCCTGATGAAACTTTCTTTTTAATACCTAATTCAGCAGGCTTATTTCATAGGTGTCTTTTATTTTAGATTCACAGAGCGGTGTATTTGTTGCATGAGACCTCAAAGCTAGAAACTCTCTGAAAGTATTTTAGTTATTTAGTAAATATTTATTGAACCTGTGCTGAACGCAGAGACGCTGTATCCTCTCCGGTGGTGGGAGAGCTTGGGTATTGGAATAAGCATCATTGAGTTGGTCCTTAATGATTATTAGGGAGGAGGGGGCTGGTAAAGGCCTTCTTTCATCCATCTGAGCCATTCATTCAATCACTGGCAAGTATTTGCTAAGTGGAATTACATATATGAAGGCACAAGGCCCTTGTTCTCCAGGAATGTCCTGTGTCGCAGGATGGCTAGACACGCCAGCGTTATTTCACCAGCTCATCGCTGGTAGGAGCTGAGGCTCCAGTCTTTTGTTATTGCAGGAGATGCTGCAGTCGGGAGCATGCGAGTGTCATGTCTTATTTTTCCTAGAATGAAATTGCTGGCTCAAAGAGTAAACACATGTAATACTGCCAATTACAGTTGACCCCTGAACCCCAGTAGGGGTCGGGGACACCGACTCCCGTGAGGTCAAATCTGTGTGTAGCTTAACAGTCGGCCCTTGGTGTCCATGATTCCACGTCCGTGGATCTAGCCAGCCACTGATCGTGTAGCACATATTTAGTTTTAAAAACCTGCGTGTAAGTCGGCGCACACAGTTCAAACGCCTGCTGTTCAAAGGCCACCTGTGCTGCCAGGTTCCCCTCCGCAGGTCCTGTACCATTTCCATGTTACTGCTGGCCCTCTGTGAGTGCCTGTTGTCCCATAGCCTCATCAGAATGTTGTCAGGCATGTTGACAGTCAGATAAGAAGTGGTATCTTAGTGTCGTTTTAAATACCATTTCTCTCCTTAAGAGTGAGGTTGAGCCGAGTCTAAGGGAGGCTTGTCTTCCGTTTCCTGTGAACCAAGGGGATGTGTATTTTGATGCAGTTCCCTGGATGATTCTGATGTGCACTCCACTTGAGAACCACTTATAAGCATAATTTCTAATACTCCCACTTCTGCTCTACGTAAGCTTAAGAGCCACATCTTTTGTTTTCGGTGTTAAAACGTGTGCAGGACCTGTGACCAACATATCTGAGATGTAACTTTCTTCGTGGCCTTTACCTAAGTATGAGTTCTTAGCTGAAGTAACAAAATCCTGATCTGGCTGTTTTGAGCCAGAAGGGAGCTCATTGGAAAGCTGTCAGGTAACTAGTGGAATCACCAGAAGTCTAGAGAACCAGTTGGAAAATAGATGTGGAGCAAAGGAGTGTAAGTTGCCGGGATAGGGCAATCGCAGTGTTTATCACTTTGGGTGTCAGTTACTGTTCTTTGAAATGCAGTGATGCCCTTGGGAGGCTGAACTTGGACCTGTGCTAAATGGCGCTGGATTTTAGCACCTTGCTTTTCTCTCTTCTCTCCTCCTTGTCTTTGCCTTTCTTCATTTTGTTGATCTAGTTTTTTAAATTACAAAGCACCTTAAAATCCACAATCTTACTGATGTAACATACCTTGTGGAACAAATATGTACTCCTGTTTTACCGGTGAAGAAACTGAAAATCAGATTAAGTGCCTTCCATTAGTAATAGGAAAACCAACCAGGGTCTCAGGACTCCAAGTTGTCGCTCCTTTTATTAGATAACAGCGCCATGTATTGATTTTTCTTTATTTTTGAAATAATCAGATGGTACCAGGTTTAAGGCCGCCTCTGCTCCTGCGGTCTGGCAGGCCATGCTCTGTAAATTAGATGCTCTGTTAGCTTATATATTTTCATTCTTATTTCTCTTCTTAACCCATATCTGATTGGCAGCAACAAATAAGAATAAGAACATTGACCATGGAAAGCAGGAAAACTATAACAGAAAAAATCAAAGAGAAAAGTACCCACGTAACACAGGCTAACGTACACTGCAGTGCGGCACGTGCATAAGTGTAATAGCACACGGAAACGTGGCATCTCAACATCCAAAGCAGTTTAGGTGTCCAGCTTTCTGCAGGAAAGTGACAGAAACGAAGTGCAAGATGGATAAAAAGACAATATATGAGACTGAAAAACTAATGGGCTGTTATATTCACATTTTTAGCTATTATGTCTTATAGTACCTTAATAGTTACTTTTAAATTAAAAAATTTAATCCTATGTATCATTTTTGTAAGTGTTGTGAATTATGGATTTAACTTTATTCTTTTCACGTGCTTCAACATTTATGGAATAACCTGTCTTTTCCTGTTGAAATGCCACCCTTGTATTTGTTCTGTTCTTTTCACCTCTGCTCTTACAGTGCAGTCAGTTTTAATTTCTTTTATTTTATAGTGCTTTTTAATGATACATTGGGAGAAAGCTCTTACTACTTTGCATTTTAAAATATTCTTTTACTATTCTCTAATTTTCTTTACATTTCGTCTTAATGTTAGAGTCTCCCTCCCTTTTCCTCTGTCCCCCCTGGAAAGAAACCTCCCTCAGAACCAGTATTAGTGTTTTCACTTAAAACGCTTAAAGATAACATATTAAACTGGAGATAATTGAAATCTTTCAGTGTTAAAAGGTCCAAGTCCAGGAATAGTCGTGTCATTCCCTGCACGTCTTGTATGTTCATCAGTGAAGGGTTATAGTTCTGTTCATGCATATGTATTGCTTATGTTTATCACTAGGTTGGGGGGCATGATTGTGAGTGGAGTTGTTGAATTAAATTCTCACACACAGGTACTGAGGACTCTCTTTTTCTCATAGATTTTCCATATTCGTATAATCTTTTAGTAGAGGACACTCTGTATAACCCCCAAAGGAAACTCATGGGATAGGAAAATAAAATCTATGCTACGTATAAATTAGAATTCTCATTTGAATTAATAAGGTTATCTTTTGATTATTAAAAATTGTAGCATTCTAGTTTTTTATGTGCACGTTTTTGCCAGCATATTATGAATTCCTCATGAAATTAAAAATTGTCTTTTAAAAATCACTGTCCATACCCTGCCAGCATCTGGTATTACTGAAGATTTTGCCAGTTTAAAAGTGTACAATGGGTGTCTTTTAAATGTATCTACAGTTAGCTCAGAAGCGTTGATGCTGCGCAGTTACTAGTGATAGTAGTAGGTTCATAGTCACCAGCGTTGGGTGCTAGGCGTTCATTGGTGATAATAGTACTTTGTTTGCCTTCACTCACCAATTCTAAGTATCCGGTACTATTTATTGTTCCCCTGTTTTTCAGATGAGAAAATTGAGGGTCAGAAGGGTTAGTTGATTGGCTTAAGGTCACATATCTAGTAAGTGGCAGAGTTAAAATGTGAATCCGGGTATGTCTGACTCAGTGCTTTTTAAAAAAGACTGAATTTTTTTAGAGCAGTTTTAGATTCACAGCAAAACTGAAAGGAAGTTCAGAGATTCCCATACACGCCCACCCCGACACACGCGTAGCCTCCCCCCGCATCAGCTTCCCTCACCAGAGAGTAGATTAGTGCTTGCCTGGGGCTGGGGGGAGGAGGTGGGATGGGAAAGGAGGGTGACTGCTCAGCAGTATGGGGTTTCTTTTGGGGGTGATGGACATGTTTTAAAATTGCTTGTGGTGATGGTTGCACACTTCTGTGAGTGAATATATTAAAGGTACTGTATGGTTAAAATGGGTATATTTTGAATTATGTTTCAGTAAAACTTAAAAAAGTTCAAATGGTTCTCAGACATGAACAGTAGACTTTTTGTATTGTTTCTTCATTCTTCCAGTGAGGAGTTTGCATTGCACAAGGAGCACAATTCCATGTTTATTGATTTATTACCGCAAAAGACTGCTTTTTAGCTAAATGTGTTCACTAGTGATTATCATGTCTCCGTTAGTTTCTAGTGCCAAACTAAAAAGGAAAAAGAACTGGTTTGGAACAGCAATATATACAGAAGTAGTTGTAGATGGAGAAAGTAAGAAAACAGCAAAATCCAGTAGTTCTTCTAATCCAAAGTGGGATGAGCAGCTAACTGTGTAAGTATCTGGTGTAAGGGGTTCAGATTTTCCAAAGAGAATTTGCTTCTTGGAATGTTTTTCCGGTGGTGGTGGTGTTTTGAGGGGTTTTTTGGTTGGATGACTTCAAAGTGAGGAATGCTGCTTTCTAGTGTGAGTAGACAATTTCAAGTGTGAAAAATTTTTTGGTTAATTTTATTTTCTTCAGAGATGAGCCATGGTAATCCTTGCTTTTGCTGTACAAACTAGTATTTTCCACATAGCCATGTATTCCCTTATTATCTTGTAAAAATAAATAGGACAGAAAATCATTTGTCATTTCTGATATATGTTGTAAATTTGTATCTAAAGTATTACAGCTAATACCAGCAGTTGGCTTAAATCTTAGCTATTTGTTCAAATAGAAATAATGTTACTGTGAAGTCTAAGTAAGACTTTTGATGTGTTGCTGGTGTTTGGCTTTATTAATTACAAAAAATTTTATCTGCTTATTAAAATCCTAGTGTACTTGAAAGTAAATGCTGTTTTTATTATATAGTTTACTATTTCATACAGTATTTTTTCCTTAAGTAAGCTGAATTCATGACTTTTTAAAAATTATTGAAGTTAGTGTTTACGCCTGTATTTTTGTTACAATTTTACCCCCGCAGAAATGTGACCCCACAGACCACATTGGAGTTCCGAGTTTGGAGTCATCACACTTTAAAAGCAGATGCTTTATTAGGGAGAGCAACGATAGATTTGAAACAAGCCCTCTTAGTACACAATAGAAAATGTAAGTTTCTTTGTTCTAATCTTTGTTTCTTTACAAGTTTATCTTAGACACTTTGAAAATATCCTGAAGTCCAAAAGCAAAACCAAACCAAACCAAAAAACCCAGTTTTGTGTTTATACAGGAAAACTTCATGTATTGCCTGTACTTGCTTTTAAGTTTATGGTGTTATATGAAATAGGAAATACTTATCTGGCGTTTCTCTATACGACAGATGTACAGACAATCTCAGTCCATGAATGTACTGTCTTATCAGTGGTATCAGTGGTTTATTACTTACTTATTATATACCTTAAAACTGAGGAAAAATGATCATTATCTGAGCCTATTCTGTTACTTAGTTAACAGTTTTATTTGTAAAAAATAAATTACAGCTCTTAAATTTTCTCTTTTCATTATGTAACTAGTTTATTATTAGAAAACATGGAGAATACAGAAAATCACAGAGGAATATAAAAATTACTTGTAATTTTTACTGTTGAGGGGTAACCACTTCTGATAATTCGGCATCTTTTTTAAAAATTTTTTTTTTATTGAGTTGTAGTCAGTTTACAATGTGTCAATTTCTGGTGTACAGCACAATTTTTCAGTCATACATGAATATACGTATGTTCGTTTTTATATTCTTTTTCACCATAAGCTACTACAAGATCTTGTATATATTTCCCTGTGCTATATATACAGTATAAACTTGTTTATCTATTTTATATATACCTGTCAGCATCTACAAATCTTGAACTCCCAGTGTGTCCCTTCCCACCCTGCTCCGCCTTTTTCTTGTTCATAGACACAAATTTATTTTTCTTCTTTGTATCCACTGGTTTATTCTCCTCTTTTTTTCATTTAGGAACATAATATGAACATAATGTTCCCATATTAAATTTTTCTCACTTGGGGATTCTTTAAGTAGTTTAAGCGTCAGTTATTTGTAAATTTCTAACCACTGTATGCAAAAATTTGACTGTATTACATGTATTTCTAATTCTGGGGAGAGAGTTCATACTTCTATCAAATTCTCAAAATATTGTGTGGTCCAAAGAATATTAAAACCCAGAGTTCTAGTTTATGAATTAACTGATCTCATTATTTGACATTTAGGTAGTTTCTAATAGTTCACTCAAACCAACACCACTGTCAATCTTTGTGTCCATCTTCTTATTTCACACCCATCCTGTTGTGTTAGGGCTACCCTAATGACCTCGTTTAAACTTAATTACTTCTTTAAAGATCCTATTTCCAAATAAAGTCAGCTTCTGAGGCCCCAGAAATTAGGACTTAAACCTATGAATGTAGTGGGGGGAAGACCCAGTTCAGCCTGTAACAAAAGGAAAGTAGATTAATTTCAAAAATTAAAGCTGTGTTAGAATCATAGTGCTTTAAAGGCAGAGGAAAGCTATGGGCAGTAATCCCAGTGACTCATTTTATTGATCACATAACCTAATCTAAGTGACTTGCTCAAGATCAGAAGTAATTGCAGAGTTTTGACTTGAATACAGGTTTTATTATTCTTAGCTGCTTAATTTGGAATAGAAGTAATAGAAAATTATCCTGGTTCTAGACAACCTTGCATAATCTAAAAATACACTCATAATTGATTAGATTCTTGGTTGCCTTTGATTCAGCCTCTTGGCTTAGCACTTGGACATTATCCTTCAAATTTATGAGCCAGTTTCTTCCTGTACTCAAAGCCTTGACATTTTCTTCTCATAAATTCGTGTTTTTATATATCCTTTCTCCTGCTGTATTTGGGGTAAGGGTGGAAGAAACCCAGCTTTGCTCATCCGTTTACGTATTTTCTACGGAGGCTTTCCCACGACAGTGGAAGGGCTGAGTAGGTGCGACAGACTTGCACGCCCTGCAGAGCCTGAGTGTCCACCACCTGGCCCTTGGTGGAAAATGCTTTCCGACCTCTGCTTGTAGGTGGCTTCCTATGATCTGTAATCTTGGTGGCGAGTTCTCATTCTCTGATGTCAGTCTAAGGGTACTCCTTCGGCTTTTAGTCCAGGCAGGGTCTGTTTCTAATTCTGCACCTATTCAGCCCTCCCATTGTA